CATCAGTGACTCAGAGGGTGGCCTCGAACATATCTAGAAGAGCCATCAAGGCTTAGAGCCACAGTCTGTGTTATTCTTTCAGGGAAGAACTGTGAAGCAATACAGTGAGCTGCCCATTTACACATTGCCCGAAGACTGACGCCTGTGATGTGCACACTTTATGATGTACCACAGGCTACTAGATTCCATGATAGTCCAAGGTTTAGTGAAAAGACGTACAATTGTCTGTTATCAGTTATTTCAACAGCTTGAAAGACAGTTACACTATTGATATAATGAAAACAGATAATGAAAAATATATATTTGATGACAAAATTGACAACATATACAGCAAATGGAATGTCACTGTATCATAAACAGTGGCAGTTAGTTGTGATAATTTATGATAATTAAGATTCTAATCAATCCAGAAAAGGAAAAGAATTGCAGATTAAGCTCTATTGTCGATCATTTCGCTACTACTTTGGAATTTGGTAATGTAGGTATTAAGACAGTCTGGCTTGCAAAGAGCTTTCATTTAAAAGTCCAAACCTTTATTTTTTTTATTTTTATTTTTATTTATTTATTTATTTTTCCTTTTTTTGTCTTTTTTCGTGACCAGCAACGGATCACAACCCTCAGTGTTGCGCCCGTACCGGACCGGGACCGGCAACGGGATTGCAACCCTCGGTGTTGCGCCCGCATCTCACTCAGCCAGTGAGCCGCCGGTCTGTATGTGGGATCCGAACCCTCGGCGGGAGCGCTGCCGCGCTCCCAAGCAGTGCACTGTAGCAGTGCGCCACTGGGCCGGCCCTAAAAGTCCAAACCTTTAACAAACTGCTACATTATAGAGATTATTCTTAAAATATTGTGAACAAAAACGTGAATAAATGAAAAAAGAAACTCACTGGGTTACAATAACAAGGATTTATTATCATGCTCACAGGTCTAAAGGCTGACTGTGCTTTGGCTGACTAACATTGGTCTCAGCTGGGCAGCTCTGCTGCAGGCTATTGGATTTGGCTCCTCACTACAGGAGGGCCTAAGGTCTGCTTCATATGTGGTTCATTCAGGGATCCAGGCAAAGTGGACATTAGTTATCCAGGGCATGTTCTCCTCATGGCACATGATCACGGTCCAAGAAGGCAGGTCCAACCATGCAAGTGCTTTCTAAGCCTCTGACATCATCTGCAGTAATCGGCCAAGTCAAGATATACGACTGAACTCAAAGTCAAAGGGCAGTAAAGTACACTCTGGCCACCATGAGGCCATGCAAGTTTGTGGATGTAATTCTATTACAGGGAATGACAAATTGGGACAAGAAATTGCATCTCCCACATTCCTCTTACTTTTATTTTTCTATAAGCGTGACAGTCCTCTTTCTTCAATTATATCCCAGAGGACCCAGCTTCTAGACCTTTTCACCATGCTGACAATGTTCTTCTACATGAATTTTAGTTCTTCAGCATTCCTATGAAATCACAATGCTCAGAACTGAACACAACACTCCACATGTGGTCTGACCCATACTGATTTTGCCTAATGAAAGGTTTAGTGGCTAAAAAGTTTAAAACCTTACCTAGATAAGAGCACTGCCTAGAAAATGTAACAGAAATGAAATGGTTTAGGGAAGTTTTAAAATATCAGCTGTCCTTTTTTCCTGAGTTAGACATTTTTCTTCTAAAGCACAGGGAGGTAATTCAGAGTGATAAACCCAGATTCCACATAATATTAGAGAAATTACTCTCTCTAAATCCTGTTTTTTCATCCCAAGAACCAAATTCTTAACTTGATAATATTTTTAGGCCACTTTAGGGTTTATAAAGCACTTAAATATATATTGTCTAAATTAATTTCATTTAATTCTTAACAACTCTGAGCTAGGCATTATTTTTGGCCTTCATGAAAGATCAGGAAATTGAGGGTTAGAGGGAAGTATAGTATTTCCTCTGCCCGGTGAACAATGTCTCTCTTACCTCCAGGCCTGGAGGGAAAATGCCTCCTCCCTCTGCCTGGAACATCCTTTCTTGACAACTCCCTTCCTTTGCCTGCATCGCTATTATTCGTCCATTAAGTAAATCTCTACTCAAATGGAATTTCCTCCATGAACTGTGGTAGTTTTCATTTCTCAGTAAATATTTATTGAGTGCCATATAGAAACAAAGGACTCCACAAGGCACTGGGCACACAGCAGTGAATAGACAGATGAGGTCCTTGTACTTACTTGGCTTAGCACTACCACAGGGAAAGATGTTAAACAAATAACTATACCATTAGTCAATTAATCACAACTGTGATAAATGCTCCAAAGCAAAGGACAATACCATTCAAGCATGGCTTAGAGCCTGTTCTTTGTGCTCTCATGGCTCTTCCTCACTACAGCATTTCTCACGCTTTATTGTAATTAGCTGCTTGTCTTTATTTCCCACTATGAGTTGAAGGTATGAGCATTAAATGGACTGTATTTTCAAAGCTTGGAATGACTCTTGTTGAATGAAAACACTTAATAATTATTTGTGGAATGACTGATTAAATAATCAAATGGACTTGCCCAACATACTAAATTAATAAGCCAGGATAAGACTTCAATTCCCATACTTTCACCTCAATACAGCATTAGCAAGAAACGACAATGATTCTAATAAAATTTAATGCTAGCTTACCACACAACTACAAATAAAAAAGAATGTACTTATACATACACATTATTTATAAACTATGCCTGTCTAATAACATATGTACACATAGTTCTCATATAGTGTATATCTTACTAACACACACTAACATAGATATACTAATTAGTAACCCCATATTCCTTACTTATTCTGATTATTATTTAGGCATTTGTAATAGAATATGTAAACATAAATTTATAAATTTAACAGACAAATTAAAATGAGCTTGTGTCTAAATAAATGATAAAACAGCAGTTACAAGTAATATATAACAAATACAAATACATATAAATTTGGGGTTATTTTCAAATGTAATACAAATTTATTTCTTAAATGTATAATTCAAAGTTTATGCTTCAAAGAGTGATATTATAACAATAAGAAACTTGCACATGATCAAGTAACAGCTGTTCTTTCATTCTGTGGGTACATATTCACAACACGGTGAGTCTGCCATCCTAACCTGGCTAAAGACACTAAGATATCTTATTAAATCTTGATTTTTTCCCTTAAATGCATAGAAATTAAAAGTACAACTCCCAATTTGCTAGCAAATCTTTCTTTTACTTTCTTCCAAAAGAATAATTTTAAGCTAGTTTTATGAAAACAGCCTGCTTCACTAAAGGGAATTAGCACCATCTAGTGAAAGAAGCTGGCAAACGAGGATCAATAGAAAATTGGTCTGTAGCAATGTAAGAGAGCAGTTTAACAGACGGTATAAGAACATATAGAAAACTGTAACACTAACAGATCCCCCCAATGATTATGTTTAATTAATTTATATTAGACTCTAATAGACTTTTGCTATTAATATTACAATTGTTTTTAAATCTTAACACACTCAGTATAACCATTAAAAAGCTTGCCAGAAATATTATAATTATGGAATGTTTAAAAAGATAATTTGCTATGTCAGAAGCATCATTAAATAAGTATGATCCATTAACACACTTTCCTGTCCTCTAATTTGTAGCCAGATTTAAAGAGCCTTGACTTTAACCTGTAGACTTTGGAAAACCAAAACATTTTTGAAACAGGGAAGGTTAGTTTGGTGGCTGCATACAGAATGGATTCACATGGTTGTCAATATTCAATGCAGTACCCCACAGATATGCACAATCATGTTTCAATTAAATTAAAAAAAAAAAAGATGTCAAGGCCTGAATTGAAATGGAAACAGAGGGTCCACTGAGAATGGTGAATGAGTAGTTTGGAGATCACAATAGCATGCAGGATATCTCTAAACTACTGCAACAATTTTTTTTTTTTTTAAATAGGCCGTGCCTCTATATCCTTTCTATTACTACCTTACACTGTTACTGAAATGCTTATTTGCTTTTTTTTTTTTTTTTTTCTTTTTTTTTTTTTCCTTTTTGTCTTTTTTCGTGACCGGCAACGGATTGCAACCCTCAGTGTCGCGCCCGTACCAGACCGGGACCAGCACAGGATCGCAACCCTCGGTGTTGCTCCCGCACCTTGCTCAGCCAGTGAGCGGCCGGTCTGTATGCGGGATCCGAACCCTCAGCGCGCCCCGCTTCCCAAGCGGCGCACTGTAGCAATGCACCACTGGGCCGGCCCCATTATTTGCTTTTTTTTTATTCCACTTACTAGAGGGCAAACTCCTTAAGGAGCTTAGCAAAGATATTAAACAAATAATGATGTAATTAAACGAATGTGCACATGGGTTCACTTATTTCAATGGTATAAATGTTGTGGAGATAAAGAATACAGTGTGTGTTTACCCCCTACTTTTTAAAGGGTCTTCTTGTGGAATTTAGGAGAAATCTTATGTTAAATATGTACATTACCAACTCTCAAATTTGTGATCATTACATCATGATGACAATTTTTAGTTGGTGGATGAAAAAGCAATTTGAAATGGGTTGGTCCTTTAATGTCACATCTTTGAATAAAAAAACTCATCTATTATTTTTTTTTCCTCTTGATTTCAAGATTAACTTATACTGCCTATCCCCAAGAGGCACCAATATGACAAATTAACTAAAGATTAGGGTTTATACTGAACATAAATATAAAATTATAAAAAACAAAAAGATTATATAGTCTATGAAAATTGACTTTAATATTTCAACTATACAGCAATATTATTACTATAGCAAAATAAAAATAAATTTTATGCAAGCTATGTTCCACTCTAAAATTCTAAAACACTCTAACCATAATTTTTATTTTCTTAGGTCCTTCATTTTGTAGTGCCTAAGAGTATTTTGCCTTTAAAAGGCATAACGTAAATTCCTATTCATTGGAATTTCTAAGCCAGTGAACTCCAGTAACAATGACCATTTAGATTAGAAGCCTGAACATTCATAGCTACCAGACACATACCTGAATTAAGGAAGAACTGAGGAGAATCTCCATGAATGCCCACTGTGCCTGGCCCCAAGGAGTCAGACAGGGTATTCACAAAGGAAAACACTCCACTCATAATTCCAAAGCCCAAGCCAGAAACTGAAGAGGAAGAAAAACACTGTTAAACCCTTTTCCTGCTGTGATTTCTCTTCAAATTAAATTTCTAAAGACTAGGGAATACTATTTCGTTGAAGGGGAAGGGTGTATATGCTGTTGCTGAAGTAGTGGACAGCTGGCTCTGGAAAGGCATGTGCTTGGCTCAATGATGAGAGAAGGGGGAAGAGGAAAGGAAACAAATAGTGGAATGCAGCAGAGAAATGAACAAGGAGAGAAAACGAAGATCTAGAAAGGCACAATAGGCGGGACAGAGGAGGATACGATGCTAAAGCTCTGGCATTTATGATAATAGAATCTATAGAGTTAAGGCTTAGAACTGGAGTTGAGCTTGAGAGGTGACTGTGTATTGTAAGGCATCATTCCTGGGCCAAATTGAGGTGACTTGACTTAGGGACCTCGATCTAATCCTTAAACATAATTCTGAAAAAATAATATGCAGAGGTATTAACTGCATTAATATGAACAGTCCTCCTAGTATAGCCAAAGTCATGGTAAACATGAAGAGAAAGTAACAGTTACGACACTTAGAAATTGTTAGCTACAGTGTATACATGTTAAAACCGAACTTTCAAACCTGGCTAATATTTAACAGACATACAGATAAGGGTCACCTGTAATCACTTTCCTTTACATAAGGAAGCTGGAAAAACAAACAAATAGTATATACCAACAGGCCAATGCAGTAATAAAATATTATTTGAAATCTACAAAGTTACAAAAGATAATTATGGCTTTTATGCCAAGTCTAATTTTTTTCTTAATGACACCATGTGGTTCTAACTTACCATAGGCCAGCAATCGCATAGAGGGTGCTGTCTCAGCTGGGTTTATACTCTTCAAACCCTTATTGGCTTTTCTAAAATAAAACCAAACATTTAATTTTTTTTTAAAAAAGAAAAAGCAGTATATCAGGAAAGTACAGTACACAAGATACTTCAAATCCAGTCACTAACTGAGGCTTTGGATCAGGTTATACTCTAAATTTAGAATCCATTTAAACAATAAAACGCAGCAAATTTTCAGTGAACTAAAATCAACCAGGCTTTTAAGATGGCGACTGGTCTGGAGCAGCCGTGCCAGGAGACAGCGCGACCCTGAGAAGTGTGCGCTGTGATACCAG